AAGTCTGAAGTCACTGAAAGGTGATAAACATGGAACTTTACAAAGCCTTTTATATAAGGTCCCTTTGGAAAGAAGAGCAGCATCTAGAAGGAATCATGTCAGAAGAGAGGGTAGATAAAATTAATATCACAGAATCCCATCCTTTTTTTCTCTCTTAGAACATGTTATCACTGAAAAAAGACAGGTGAATGTAGGTGAAAACTAAAACTTATTAAGTTAGGGAGGCATCTTTTCCCTAGTGAGGACACACTTCAGTGATTCAAGATCAAATCTGCAGTGCTTCTAAGTCCAAATTTTCATAGTAACAGCATTGCAAACTTAGTATGAATTATGAACATGTGTCCATGTTCTCTCTGAGAGTGTCTACACCAGATGCCTAATGCACAGTTGGTTAATTCCACTGCACATTAGCACATCACAGCAAAAACCATGCTAATGTGCAGTAGAATTAGTCTACTGCACATTAGGTATCACAAAAAGACTGTGTGCCATTGCTACTGTGCATTGGTGCCAGCTACTGCGCATTTATGTACTATTAAACTTAATGTGCCGTAGCAATGGCACATAAATGCATGTGGAGACGCATCCACTGTGTCTTATGTAATAATAACTAACATTCTTATAATAGAAGGCGGGGGAGTCTGGCTGCATTAACTCATTCAGAGACACATACTTTCATAGGTTAAGATCATACCTCCCTACGTGATCTAGTCTATAAAGTACCGTACTGTTCTGGCCTCTGCCTAATTCAGACTAACATGATTAACTACCTCTCTCTACTTTTATAACACGTCTTATTTTGAAATACTGGATGAACATGAGTTATAACAGTTGCCACTATGAAAACAACAGTTAAGATACAGTCATACCAGAAATCACTGTCTTTTCCCCCTGTAATTAGAATGGGAGACCAGTAACAAGGGGGTCAGAGTTGACAAAAAACCAATATCTCATGGCTTCCTTCATAATTAATCCCCACCAAAGCAATATGAAATAGTTAAGTGTTATAGTCCACATCGTTGTGAGGGTGAAACTATGATGTGGAGCTGTGAAATTACTTGCCTGAGACAACGCAGGGCAGAGCCACAATTAGTATTATTCCATTTAACATCTGTGTATGACACCTTAAGTGTGTGAAGTACATTGCACAGAAAGAAATGAAAGAAAAAACATAAAACAGTTCCAACCCTATATAATTTATAATGGATGCTGGTTAGACTAAAAACCACCTTGTCCACTCTCTGTTCTGTTGTGTTCCTTCAGCAAGCAAAGCACAAATGAGGTCAGAAGCAGAGATGGATAAATTCCTGTAGAAAAGAAAGTTTGGACATTCAACTCTGAACTCTGATACATATGAGAAGTTCAGCTGAGTCATCTGTACTCCTAGGATCTGCAGTGGTAAACCAGCAATGTTAGTTAGAGTGCTGATGCGTTGTCATGGTTAGCTTTAGAAGTGTAGGGATAAAGGTAATGTTATTTTCTGGAGGATTTGGGCAATTTGAAATGGGCTTTCATTCTCACTAGGGAGAAAAAGCTCTAGATTTTGAAACTTTTCCTGAAGGGCTATGGATCCTGGCAGCTTGTGCTTCCTAGATGGCTGCCAGGCAGATAAGCCAGCAGGAAACCACACAGATCTTGAAACTGCCTAATAGGAAGGCCAGTTTCTGTGACACATTTTAGTTTTGATGAACAGACAAATTCTGACAAGGTATCTGACTCCGGCCTGTAGTGGTGGCTCCAGGTTACTTTTAGATGGGGCAGGATATCTCACTTCAACTACCTATGCAAGTGGTGCTCAACCTCTGGCCCGTGGGCTGTCTGGCCTGTGGGGCTCCCCATGAGTCCAGGCATGCAGTGGGGGGAAGCTTTAATTATCACAGCATGGGAATGCTGCCATTGCTCCTCCAGCTACAGATTTCCAGACCCATGGGGAACCTTGAAGGCCAGATGACAGAGTCCCACCAATGGATTGTGCCAGTGTATAGGTTTGCTCTGTGGCTGGATCCAGCACATGGGGCTGGGTCAGAGCACCGGATAGAAATTGCAGCCTTACCCCATGCACCAACTCCACACTGGATCTGGCCTGTGGGCCAACCCTGCCCATGGGATCTGGCACTTGGGAATGGCCCCATGCCATTCATTCAGCTCATGGGGCACCAAGGTGGAGCACCACTGATACAGGAGATGAAAAAGGTCTTATCCTGCAAGGTGCTGGGTGTCCTCAGGTTCTTTCTGAGTACATGATTCACAGACCCATTCTGAGTCTCCTCACTCTGGAGAAATGGACCCTTCTGCAAGTGCTCGTTGTGATAAGTAAAGCAGGGCATGAAACAAGTGTATTGTCTAGCAAAAATTTGGGAGATATTGAGCTATATCTCCATCCTGAAAGAAATGAAAAGGCAAGACCTCAAAACTGTTTGTAAACAAATCCTAAAAAGAAAATAGATTCAGATATGAGCAAAATATTTAGGTAGACGGTAGGGCTTGATGGCACCTTGAAGACAAACTGGCTCGAAGGGGCACAAGTTTTCCTAGTCAACAACCTACTTCATCATTTCTGATGAAACAAGTTGTTTCTTACAAAAGTTCATGCCTCTAAGGTGCCACCCTGACTTACCTTCTGCCTTACTTCAGGCTGCCATGGCTAACTACCTCTGCTTAAAATACTTAGTTTTGATAATTTTGAGAAGGTTTGTATCAAGTTTTTCTGTACAAACACTCAGAGGGTAATTAGTTTGAATTTCAACATGAAAAGAATTCAAGCTGAAAAGATGGAGTTTTTCATTTAAAACATTAAAAAAAAAACCCTTGCTTTTTGAGGGGGAGAAGGAAATCATTAAATCCAGTCTTTTCCCATGAAAATGACAGTTTCAACATGCTGGCATTTTCCAAGATTATTTTTACTGAAAAATTCATGTGCTAGGGTAAGCAAGGCCCAGCTGCAGCAGCTGTTCCTTTGGAATTCCCTATTATATCATGCCTGCATGCACTGTAACACCCAAGTGAGTCTGTGCCCCCCCGGGATTGTGCATCTGGCAGAGCCTATCCTTGAAATCAGCAGCTACAGATGGTGCAGGATTGTGATGAAGGCAACATAAATCGACTATAATTCATTTTCTTTTTTTGGAGAGGGAGGCAAGGGCCGAGTTGTGTCAATGGCAGAAGGCTTGGCATAGCTGGAAGTAGAACCATACAGATGAGTTGGTGGACCTAGCATTTGTCTTGGGCAGGGATTGTAGAGGGGCAGTGCAGGATGACACCTGTTTGTTCCACCAAATTTTCAACCTTCCATGTTATGCAGCTTTTGCCTTTTCTCTTGTGAGGTTATGTACTATCAGAACAGCTGCTGTTGATTCACTGGGACTTCCTCATCAGTGGGTCTGAACAAGAATAATGTGGGTCACCGTCGGCCACTTGTAAACTTACAGAAGTTTGTAGGTTCAAGGACATGGGTATGGGTGGGCTCCCACATAACCTGAGCCTGCTTGCATTGCCCTGCACACCAGCCGGTGGGGTAGGAGTCCTAAGGGTGCTCCAAAACACCTTTTCAACCATAGTCCCAATCAAACACTTGCCCAAGTGCCACCCTGCCTTTCTCATTGCCCCTGCATGGGGTGAGAAAGCAATCAATGATCCCTGATGCCCAGGCTCTAACCTTTGCCTGTGCCAAAAACTATGCCCAAATTGTTCTCATAAAAATAAAACAGGAGTTCCTTTGAAGGAGGTTAAATGGGTTTTATTCTTTGAGTTCATGGGGTTTATGTGCCCTGAATTCAACAGATTGACTTTACCTGGGGGTGAGGTTTGGGCTGGTCTGACAAATCTGTGGGAGCAGAGTAAGGTAGAGCTAGTGCAATGGTCCTGGGTGGTGCTTCTGTGCCATGGGGTGCAGGCTGAGCAGTTGGTGCCTCTTTAAATGAGTAGGAATGTGGGATACCTTTCCTTCTGCTGTGGTCCTGGCCAGAGTACAGACCAGCCTCCTTGCTCCCTCTGTTTAGCAGGAGGCCTCTAATAAAACAAAACCAAAGTCAAATGCCACAGATTGTTCAGGGCACGAGGCTTTTTCTGTCTCCAGCACCCAGTAGGTTTAAATCTGGCCCAGTTGGCAGGGCAAATAAGTTTTGGAGCAGGTGGCTGAGAGGAGGGAGGGGACACCATGGTTCTTGGCATGGATGCCAATTTGAGATGACCAGATTTCCAAAGTCCCAACTAAGGGACACCTGTGGGATCAGCTGTCTTGGGACTCAGGAGGGGTGCATGGAAGGGGATGGGCAGCCAAAGGGAAGAGAACACATGAGCTTTGCCTACTCCACACCTCCCCTGCCACTCTGTGAATTTAATGGCACATGTCAAAGGTGCATGACCTCCCAGGCCTATTCTCAGGGGCTTGACTGAAGGCCTCAGGGGGGTAGGGCACAGAAAACCAGCATGCAGGAGGTCTTGAGTATGGGCTGGTTCTTGAGTGGCACCTGTATCAAGCCAGCCTGTTGCCAGAGCCCCCAGCCCATGTGGCCTGCAGCTTCTACAGCACGAGGAGAAGAATTACTGTGGCTCAGGGGTAGAATCCAAAGCCAAGGACAGTCTTGATTTTCAGAGACACATGTTGACCCACATCTCATCAAATGCACTTGCAGTGTGTCAAGAGATGAGCATCTGGGAGAAGATCCGCTTGAACCAGTTGCATTGTATGTATAAGCCAAACTTCCCATTCCCTCTCTTGACAATATTCTTTCCTCTTGTACAGGGGGAGAGAGAGAGAGAAGGAGAAGGAGGGAAAATGCCAAACAGCCACAAATAAGCGCTGGCAACCTTTGCTCTTGGTCTTAAAACTTTTCTCCAGCTCTAAGATGCCCACAACAATCTTTGTGCAGACTACAAGTGAGATTGCTCTGTGGACAATGTGAGTACCTGTGTGACTGCCAAACAAAGCTGTGTCTCTTTAAATAAGAAGGTAACTTGGAAGAGAGGGGTGTGTTCTCTCTCTCAGCAACTCGCGGGCAGGTTGTATCTGTCTCTGGAGCACCGCCAAAGTGCCTGCCGTACAACCATCCAGCCCTCTCCCAAACTGACATTTCTGCAGGAGCATCTGTCTCCCACTCAGATCGTCTTGTCCTACTGGCAGAACGGGGCAGGGGACAAAACCAACAAACATTTGCAAAGAAACAGCAAAGGGAGAAAGAGATGGAGCCGCAGGTCTGAGTTTCGGCTGAAGAGGGCAAAGCCGCAAGACAATGGGGATGTTCCTGCCTGGGAAGCACGGGCTGCTCCTCAGGCTCTGGAACTCTCTGTTGCGCAGCTTACAGGGCGAAAAGTCCTGGGCCAGGCGCCTGGATGAAATCAACCTGCTGCAGCAGAAAAGGTATGTCTTGGCCTGGCTGTTCCTTTGCCCTACCTTTTTTTACCCCACTCAATTTTATTGCATGTCAATCTCCCCCCCCCCCCCCCCCCCCCCC